CCCGACTCCCTCCCCTGAGTCGCTGGGCTTCTGTGAAATGGCGAGAGGGCGGCGTCGCAGAGGACAAGAACGACGTGGCCGGGCGAAACTCGCCCAGACTGGAGTCGGCCAAAGGAACTCGGCTAGGCTGAACTCGGCCCGGGCCGAATTCGGCTGGGCCGAGTTCAGCCTGGCGGAGGTCAGCCTGGCCGAGTTCAGGCTGGCCGAGTTGAGCCTCGCCGAGCTTGTCCTGGCCGAGCTGCTGCCCAGAGGAGGAGGCGCCCGCGCAGGGCCTGGGCCGCACATCCTCCCAGGCGCGGCCCCCATCGCCAGGGCGCGCCCAGCGGCGGCGGGTGCGGGCGCCCTGAGAGCCGAGCGCTGAGCGCGGCGAGGCCTCTGCGACACGGGCCGGCTTCGGACTGCAAAGGCCTCCTATAGAGGAGCGACAGCTGCGTGGCCGTACACTTTCAGAGCTCCGCGCGAACTTCTTGGATCGGCGCTGGGCCCGCTGGCGCGCTCTGCGCGCCAGGGAGGGGGGGGTCAGCGCCGATCCAAGAGGTCCGCGTGGAGTTCCGACCATTTACGTTTATACTGCTTGCATTGGACTCCACCCTCCGCCCAACAGACGGGGAAGACTTCCGCTCTCGGGTTTGATTCGTTGCTTCCTTCGCTGGAGGAACGCAAGCTTACTGGAGGGCGAGTGACCGTTGCCATCACGGCCCGAGCAGTGGCTTCCTGGCTCAGGCAGACTCGACGACGAAACCGCGGCGATAACGATGACGACGGCGACCACCATGGCGACGAGGAGAAGGGAGGCGAGAGTGACACTGACGACGGCAGTGAAGGCAACCATTGCGATGTTGACGAGTGCTGGGGTGGATGGCGGTGGTGATGTGGTGACAGCGGTGATGCCCGACGATATAGCCGGTTGCGCAGGCTTGACGGCGACGACGCTGGCGGCATGCCTTGGGCGAGCTTCACCCCGCCTCGAGCTTCGAGACGTCGCACGGGCTCGGCGGGTGGAGTCGTAGGCTCCCTGGCTCGTGGCCGAGGCGAGTCCAGGAAAGGCCCACCGCAAGCGACCCAACCCCGAAATCCGCTGAGGTGGTTCTTTGGTCCAGCGTCGAGCTTCCTGCTCCCCTGCTGCCAGCCAAGACAAACATGGCGCCCTGAGCCAGGCGGTGTCTTGGTACCACCCGCGAGACTATTCGATCTCACGCTTCACGGCGATCGATACACACAATCTCCGGACCTTGCATGCACGGACAGGCAGGGGCTTGCCCTGGCAACGAGACAACACCTCCCTGACGCAAGATGTGTTCCAAACAACTTATCTAATTATCTAACGTTCTTTTTCGCGCAAGATTTCGCACAACGGAATAAACAAAGGGCTCACGCGAATGTTGAAATGAGGCTTCTGGTTCCGCCGACGCCATGAAAACACTCCAAAGCGGTCAGAGAAACGCGTCTTGACAGGCATGCAATGTCTTGAATGAACACCCAAAAAACACCCTGCCGCATTGCGCGTTCTCTGGTACTTCACCGGACGCCCAAATCAAGAAACAAATTCGCCCCGTTAAGTAACCTTGTTCTCAAAACCCGCACCGGCGCCTCCTTTACAATCTGTTGTGGCCCCAGCTTGGGATGGTAAGCGAAGGGGGGCGCTCCGAACGGCGGTCGAAGAAACCCATGGTATCTTCCATGTCCGCTTGCTCATTGGGTCTTCGGGCACGCTCCCCCAAGGCGTGCCAACACCCTGTTCGCAACTTGGTGGGCCTCTACTTGCGGATGGGCGACTCGCAACCGCCAATTCAGTTACACGTGGGCGAACAAGTCCAAAGGTGTCTTTCATGCCCGCCGGTCTCAGGCCTTCGGGTACGTGCCCCAAAGCGCGCCAGCACTTTATGAACCCAGGGTTCGTTACAGGGTGCTCTGCAACCTGCAGGCGTTTCACGACTGTCAGAAACTTTTGCGCTGGACGCAACCCAAAGAAGCCCAGGACACCTTGACAAGACGTAAACGGCTTCTGGTTACGCGCCGCAACTGTATGGTCAAGCGAATCGACTATACTGGGCTCTCGTGTTCCCGCTTTCTCGGACTCCCGAACGCTCACGACAACTGTGAGACCAGCCAGGAGGCCTCCAACATCGCCCCGAGACAGCGCCACAGAGCCCCAAACGGCCCAAGAGACCCCAAATGCGGAACAAGAAGTCTCAAAGGGAACTCGATGGGGACCAGGAGACCCACCGAGTACCCTGAGACACCCCCAGGACGCCTCAACAAAGGCTCCTAAGAGGCCTCTCCAAGATCTTGTATCCGTTTCCTTCTCAGGCACAGCCTCCCCGTCTTCCTGCTTCTCCTCGGGCATGTCTTCCCGCTCTTCCTGCTCCTCCTCATTATCTTTCTCCTCCACATCATCACCGCCTTCGTCATCATCATCGTGCACCTGAGCCGTGAGTTGAATGACGTTCGAATGAAGAAACGAGCGAACACACAAACATACAACACACACACACACACTTACACACACTTACGCATGTACGCTTACACGCACACACACACACACTTACGCACACACTTACGCATACATACACTTACACACACCCATACTCACACACACAACTACCCACGCGATGGCAGCGACCACATGCATTCGCGGTTCCCAATGCCTGAAGGCAGCCCCGCGAGCACGATTAGTGGTGTGTCCGCGTCCCGCAACGCCACCCTTCACAGAAACGATATCCACGGCCCTCGAACCCAGCACGTGAAAAAGAAACTGAACATCCTGCCACTTTACTGACACCTATGCCGACAAATCTCCTCCTCTCCGAGAACGAGGGGGCGGAGGGATACGCGGGGGAGGAGGGGAAAAACATGAGGAAGGAAAACGACGGGGAGACGGGACGTGGGGAAGGAGGAGTGAGAGGGGGAATGGGGGAGGGTAGAGGACGAGGCGGGGGATGGAAGAAAGATGAATGGAGGTGGGGGCAGGGTGGTGGTGGCTGGCTGAAAGATTGGTCAGACGCAATAGAACACCTCGCCTCTGGAGGGTTGCAACTCATCGTCCGAACCCTCTCGAACAGTGGGCTCTCCCAGGGTTTTGGTTCTTGGGAGATCCTCCGCGCCGGCGCCACAGGACGCAAACACCGACGCCTGGGAGGCAACACCTGGGACCCGATAAGTAGCATCAGGATTGATAAGGCCCGCCGATTCAGAAGGCTTGAACTCTTACAAACTCTCGAACACAACCCTATCACGCAAACGCAACGGGCCAGGAGGACTGAACACCAGCGACTTGGTCGACGCATGATAGTGGGGGTGATTCCCCCTCCGAATTCGACTCATCTGGTACTTGATGCCTGGCATCGCAAACTGGCCGTTGCACCGTTGGCGCATCAAGGGGCCGGGCTTGCAGTCCCAACCCTAAACGCCGCATCTGATGCAAAAATTATGGACGACCCTTCTCGCGAGGGAATCTTGACACTTCCGCGGCCGCGAAAAAGGAAACCCTGGGGGGTCTGGTCCTCACCAGCTTCGTCGATATGCACCTCCTCCTCCGTCTCCTCCTCCTCTCCTCCTCCTCCTCCTCCTCCTCCTCTTCCTCCTCCTCTACGACACTCGAAGACGACGGCTCACCTCTCACCTCCTCCTCCACAGGCGGGGCAGGCTCCTGAACCTCCCTCATCGACCCCCTACAGCTTCAGGGGGCCCGCGGCACCATCCGCAAGGCCAGCGGGCCCACACGACGGTACGGCGGGGGCTACACTGACAATGCCTTCCCAACGGAACCCTGAAACAGATGGACTTCGAGATCGGCTGCCCACCTGCACGACTCCGAAACAACTTCGCACGCTCATCCGTCGGGTCAGGGGGGCGAATCCACCCCCTGCGTTTTAAATGATCTTGTTTTGTGGGGGGCGAGGCGCGTCGTTTCTTTGCTGCTGGTATCGGCGCTGTATACCCGGAGTGCTTTTCCTCGGCGCTGCCTCTCCTCTCTCTCCTCTCTATCTCCTCTCCCTCTCTCTCTTTCTCTCTCCGCCGTCCTCCGCCTAAGCCTCAGCCGAAGCCTAGTCTAGCCTCAGCCGCAGCCTCAACCGAAGCTTCAGCCATTGCCCAGCCTGAGCCTCAACCCGACTATTGCTACACATCGTCAGGGTATCGCTGCTACCGCAAGACTACCACATTATGGTTACCAAAGTACTTCAATAGTACGACTCCTGCAACACTATTACTACTACAACAGTGCGGCCGTATTGGAAGGTTTCTGCATTTCTAAAATTTCGCAATACTGTGCTATCCTACAGCCGCCACTGCAATGATACCATTATTTTTAATCAGGGTACTACTACGGCTTCGCTATAATGCTTCTAATGCAGTACTAGTACGGCAATGCGGTGTTAGGGGACGGTTCCCGTGCTTGACCGCTCCAGTGTTGGAGTTCCACGGTTGCTACTGCCAGCGGTTGGATATTACTAGTACAGTGCTAGGCTACCACTACTGCAGCACTACTGCTACAGTGCTGTACCACAGGTACTACAGCGTCACCACTACAGCACTACAGTATTAATTTGTTACAGCAGTGCTGCGATACTACGGCATTGGAGTATTCCTACTACAGTATTGCAGTGCACTCGCTGCGGGCAACCGTAGAGTACTAATCATGTTGTACTGTAGTACTGTTTCTGCAATGCCTCTACAACAATTGAAAACAACCCCACAACAGTACAGCATTCTTCCTGCAGCACTACCACTCACGCGCCGACTGTCACTACAGGACTACAACAGCGCTGCCACTTCACCCGTACACTACTACTACTACTACTACTACTACTACTACTACTACTACTACTACTACTACTACTACTACTACTACTACTACTACTACTACTACTACTAATACTATTACTACTACTACTACTACTACTACTACTACTACTACTACCACTACTACTACTACTACTACTATTACTACTACTACTACTACTACTACTGGTTTAGCACGGTATCGGGGTACCAGTAGT